ATTGTGAGAATGATGCAGGGAAAACCGAGCAAAGCCATCTAGGATCCCTTGAACTCACCAGAAGAAAAGCAGAATATAATAACAGTAATATAACAATTTCCAGAAAAGCCAAAGGTTTGCCAGAATTTAACTAAACAGATTAAACGCCTGGGCCCACATGTCATTTAAAGGAATGCCCGGGACAATCAGAATCCTTTAGGGACCCTGCTTTTGCCTCCCTATGGCTGTTCAAGTAACACACGGTTTCTCATGTCCCCTCATTCATTCAGAGCCGATGGTTTATTTTATTTTTTTCATGTATAACAATCTACACTGATTCAAATACAATCGTGCCATCTTCTTCTGATTGCTGCACAAGGGTGGAGGGAGGGGTTTCACTTAACTGGGGCTTATTTTGGGGGTAGGGCTTATATTATGGGCATCCTGAAAAATCATACTAGGGCTTATTTTCAGGTTAGGTCTTGTTTTGGGGGAAACAGGGTATTAACATGCTAGTGCTGGATAAGGCACAATAGATTGAAGCTGAATCTTGATGAGATGTGTGCCCTGTTGGTAGCACGTTTTTGTGTTTGTTTTTTGTACACTGGAACTAGGTGTGCAGTCTACTTTAGATGGGGCCAGATTCTACTTAAAAGAGTAGGTACATAGCCTTGGGTATTCCTCGATACAGCACATTTTATATTCCCCCTTCATACATGGTGGAGGATAAACAGCCTCACTGTTGTAGCGATGCTCACTACAACATGGAGGCACATTGTCCAGCAAAAACAATCAGGTATGTTTGTTGGGGGGGAATTCTTTAACCTTTTCCTGCTCCAACACAGCTCCACAACAGATGAGTACATATCTTATTGGCCCCAAAGTGCATTTTCTGCCCACATTTTCACCTTTCCAAAAAAAAGAAAGAAAAAGCTGCTCAAAGCAAGTTGTAAAATATAAAAATACACATACAATCTATCGCTAAAGGCAGGGCAGGCGGCGTGGTGGTGAGGTAAATCCAATCCAGCTCACAAGAGGACAGACGGATATGAAATATAAATGCGGATCCACCAAGCTATACATGAAACAGATGAGCATAAAGCCAACTCGAACAAATGCTCCTGTGCATGTAAACCATCACCAGAAGATTTTTTTAAATAGTCTCTATTGCAAAAGCAAGGGGCCATTAGGTTTCATTTCCAGCGAATATTTGAGAACTCATATCCTTCCCATTGTGATTCAGCATACAGGACTTAATCAGAGGAAAAGGATTCTGAAACTCAACAAACTCAGACCTGGGCAGGGGGAGGATTGTGCATTTACAGCAGAGCCATAGCCAATTAGTAAATTATAAGCAATTATAGACAAAAGCGCTGACTTTCAAACCCATGCAGGGAAGTTTGGGAAATGCCCATGGTGGCCTGGCTGAAATTCCTGTCATAAGCAGAGAGAGATGACTCTGTCTCATGGCACTATGTCGGCTGGGCAATGTCTGGAGTGCCACTTTGCCATCACATAAGGGGGTGGCCACAGCTGAACCCCACTCTTCCAAAGGAGGACACAAGGTGAGTGAACCCCAAGTAAGACACACAACCCAGTTCAATGCTGGGTTTTGTTTTTCTTCCCATCCCAACCTATGTACCCATCCTAACCAAGAAAGCTGAAGAAGGAAACACAGGCCACAATGAATGAAGTTGGAGGGAAGGATTCCTCCCGCTGCTTTAGTTCAGAGGGGGTGGGTCCAGCAGCAGGGTGGGGGAGATCAGGCCAACACCCCCCATGTTCCCTCTTATGAAAAGCCATCATTACCGCCAGCCCATTTTAACCTGACAGCTCTGCAGACCACTATCTACCCACTTGGTACCTTCCGCCAACTCAAGCCAAGCTGCAAAGCTGAAATTGTAGGCTGTGGCTAGAATTTTTTTTCTTCTTCCACCCACCTCTACCGCATGCCAATTTCTCAGGAGCAATTTCTTAAAGCCATCATCAAACTGGAAGGCACCCAAGAGCAGGATCCTAAGAAGTCTGAAGGACTATAAACCAGAAATTTCTCTCCCAGGAAACTTGGTAGAAATTAAAAAATAAAAAGCCACCCAAATAAAAGCTCTGGTTATGAAGTAGCAGCAAGGAAACCGGGCAAGCCCCTTTAAAGCCTTTTCCTTCAGGGAAAGCTAGGCCACTTGAAGTCTAGCAGAAACCATTTCTGAAATATCTGGGAGGCTAACTTCTCTCTTCTTCAAAAACATCAACTTGTGCAAAGGGTTGGAAATGGGCAAGAGCTTTACCTGAGACAACAACGTTTTTTGACCAAGGAACCAAAATCTCCTCCTTTTTCTGCAAGGCTTGCTTGGCATGGATGGAAGAGACAACAACTATAATAATAAATGTAACTGATACTTGGGTACCAGTTAAATAATTTAAAAGATACACATTGTATCTGCAATATAATACCACTCAAATACTTTGTTTAGCAATTAGGGTAACTATGACACAGACCACAGAAATATTTTGTCCATATGCATCTCAAACACACTCCGTGTGCTTTATAAAAACTTGGGGAGAAGCAGTATACATAACTTATTTTCTTTTTTCAAAAACAAATTGAATAGAAACTGTAAGTATGCCTCTTGTCATGTCAAGCTACTTTTCCCCACCTCCACTTTCACACATGCTCACCCGTCTTCTCCTTACCCACCTCCAGGTATATTCATGCCTCACAAACAATCTTATTTTGCAACTTCTGCAGCAGGAAAGGCATCAGGTTGAGGGCCAAAGGCAGGCGCTCCAAAAGGGGTAAGGGGAAAAAAAAAACCTTTATCTTTGTATCTATGCCTCCACAACCCCATACACAGAGAAAATTAAAGATAGCCCTCTCTCATTCATCACAAATATACGCACATAAAGCCTACTTCTCCTTCAGCATGCATTTGCCCAACATGGTAAAAAAAAACAAACCACCTTCTCTGTGTATAAACATATACATAACAAGAGAACTTTTTTATACATAACTGAACACTCTTGCTCTCCGCTCTCTCTTTGGACACACACACACATGAATACTCTAAGTTTGGAAATACATTTACAGTATATGTTTGTATGGTGAGGAAGGCTCTACTGGTCCGCTTTAACATATCACAATCAAAACGTGAAATTTACTTTCATTAATAATAAATCAAGGAAAAACATATATGCGAGTGTGTGTGTATGTTTCTCCTATATAGTATAAATAAAATAAGTAACAAATATATAACATATATATATATATACACACACATATATACACAAACACAAGAGATAACCTTATTTTTATCTATTTAAGGGGCTTCTCTCATACACCTTAGGTTCTTCCAGTCACCCCTCATGAAATGCAAGGTCCTTATGAGGAATGGCGTCTATGAGAGAAACACCCCCCTCTCCCCCCCACTAAATAAACAAGTATCTGAGCTTTTTCACTCCCTACAACCTGGCTCGCTCTCAGGCACAGACACGTCTCAGGAGACCTGCGGGATTCCCGCGTGCAAACTCGCATCTGCCCCTCGTTGTTCGTGTGAACGCGCCCCTCCCCTTGGAGACACGCTCCTGGGGGGGAGGGGCAGCTCTTTCCCGCCCCACACACACACATTCTCCTCCCCACTTTTTCTCCTTCCCCCCCCTTCACTCACTTAATGCGGGACCCCATGGTCTCTGAGGGGGCTGCATGAGCCCCGGGCGGGCAAGAGGCGGCGGCGGCGGCGGCGACAGAACTGGCGGGAGGGAAACTTCCGGTCACTCCATCCCGTCAAGGCACCAGCCCGACTCCGCCAAAGCGGACTGACCGACGGACGGGCGGACAAGGAGGGCGGCGGGCCGGAAGTCGGCGCGCGAGGGAGGCCGGGAAATGTAGTCCGGCCTCTCGCCTCCTCTCCTGGGCAGACCGGAAGCCGCTCTTTCCGGCGACGGCGGTGATGTCGTCGTCTTCGCCGCCGATATTCGGCGAGGCTGCCGTTGCCGTGGCAACGGGGCGCGCGGGGACGGCCTAGTAAACAAGGACTCTTTGGCTTGCAGTCGTTCTGCGTATTGACGAGTCCAGAGTTCCCTTGAGCATACGATGATTTTAAAAAAAACACACACATTCAGTTACAATCTCTGGCTGTCTTCTTCGTGGTCCTTCCATTCTGAGCAAACTCGCTTAGCTTTGGCTGTGCAAACCCTATGCCTTAAACGTGTAATTTCTTATTAGCTAAACCGAAAACCTAGTATTTTAATGTTTTTAAGAAACAAAAGCCAAAGCAAAACCCAACAACCCTCCCTTAGAACGTTTGTCTCCACAGCCCATTCTTGAACATAAAAATGAAAAACATTGCAGCACTTCTAAGACTTAATAACTTTATTTAAGAGTGAGCATAAATGCATATTTTATTCAAAATAAATAAGTTACCAGAGTAGTCACCTGGCTTTCAAGGAGACTAAGAACTAAGCAATCTCCCCCCATTTTTTCAATAGGAGATTTGAGACTTTAATAGTGTGCCTAAACCATTCACAAAATATCAATTAACACATGTAACAATTTAAAAAACAATAGAAACTGTTAAACATAACAATTATGACAATAGATTGCAATCTTGAATGGAATACAAATGAACTATCATACCCCGTAGTAAATTATACACCCAGTACAGGGGGAAAATGTTCAAGATTTCAGACTGCTTTTTCCTGAATGTCACTGGGGAAAACAGAGCATAAAGATAAATGTAATACTATTTAAAAAAGGACTCAGCAGATATTTCAGCAGTAGGCTGAGCTTGGTTTTTCTTGAATAGCATATATCCATATCAGCAAAGTGAACATTGAGCTCAGCTGTCAATCTTTCTTTTTTTCTAAACCTCCAGACAGACAGCTTGCTATTTTTAGATATTAAAAGCGCCACATGCATGTTGTTCACTGATGCATTTCTTGCCTTAAGAAATGGAAATGTTATTTTAAAAGATAAATGAAGAATCCAGGAAAAAAAAAAACAGCACGACTGGCAGATTCCTGACATTGGCTATCGAAAGGGCAATACTGCTAGTATAAAGAGGATTTTATGCCTATTCCAAAACCCCTGGAGCTCAAACAGCTTTGCGTTAAGATTGTAGTTAAAGATCCCAAGAAAACCCACTTCTTTTGACATAAAGTAACTCATCCTTGGCAGCTGAAAGTACAGTAAAAATAAAGACAATAATTAACTGCCCCACATCAACTGGCAGAGGTGGGCACCTACAGTTGAGTGAACCACAGCAGTGTGGTAAGGGCTATAAGAGGATATTGGCCATGGTCTGCTCAGCTGAGACAGGGCAAAGAATGGTTTTAACCACGCTACTGCCCTTTCCCTGGAGGACGCCCTTGCTTAATAGCATCTAGGAGTAAGGGAGCGGATTAGCTGGAGGATCTGTCTCTTAAGGACTTGAGCCATTGACTACCAAACAAAAGCAGGCCCTCCGGTTCTTTCCAAGTGGAAAAGCATAATGCAGGGATTAAGGTTGGGCTGAAGCCTTGGGATACTATCCAAAGACGAGGGCCCTCAGCTGCCAAAAAAGCGCCCCTTCTTCCCTGGCTAAGTCTGGACTGGAGTGTCTCCAGAGAGGATTTCTGTCTGACTGCCAGAGGTTCCACCATCAGCAGAGGAGAAAATAGGTGAGCCGTGGAAGAGACGCAGACCGTCAGTCAGAAAGGCAAAATGGTATTGCAAAATCATTTCTAAAGTGCTTTCTTCTCAGGAGTTGGAGACAAGAGAATAACTGGATCTTGGGAATGAGGCTTTTCTAGACTACAACATCCAGAATCCCCTTCCCAGTAGAGTAAGGGGCAAGAAGATTTTGAGATCTTGGAACTGATGATTTTTTTGGAGTCCGCTGGCTGGGGAATTCTTGGAGTTGTAGTCCAAACAAATCACATTTATCAGTTCTGGGAACACTTTGCACAATTAATCATGAAACTGGGCAATAATCAACTTGGGAAATCCATCTGAGTATAGCGCAGGAGAAAAAAAGAATTCCAGACTTATTTACAGAACCTTCAAAGGCTGTTTTTTGTTCAAGGGTATTTGCATGCAGTTATGTCTGTAATTTGGAGAAGCAGCAAACATTGACCTCAAAAAGACAGAGAGGAAGAAAGCCCAAGAGCACAAATCTACATATAGATTATAGAAAGGTGGAGATCTAAGATAGCCAACTGCTTGTTGTTGTCTTCTCTAGTGCAGATTGCTTGCCACATGCATAGTGATCTCTATTACAACAATCTATAGCAATAAAAAAGGGACGTGGTGGTGCTGCGGATTAAACTGCAGAAGCCTCTGTGCTGCAAGGTCAGAAGACCAGCTATCATAAGATCGAATCCACACAACGGAGTGAGCTCCTGTCCCTTGTCCCAGCTATTGCCAACCTAGCAGTTTAAAAGCATGTTAATGTGAGTAGATAAATAGGTACCACCATGGTGGGAAGGTAACGGCATTCCGTGTCTAGTCGCGCTGGCCACGTGACTATGGAAACTGTCTACAGACAAAACGCTGGCTCTATGGCTTGGAGACAGGGATGAGCACTGTGCCCTAGAGTCGGACACGACTGGACTAAATGTCAAGGGGAACCTTTACCTTTACCTACGGCAGTAAAGGACTCACTGGAAGGGCAGATCCTGAAGCTGAGGCTCCAATCCTTTGGCCATCTCATGAGAAGAGAAGACTCCCTGGAAAAGACCCTGATGTTGGGAAAGTGTGAAGGCAAGAGGAGAAGGGGACGACAGAGGACAAGATGGCTGGACAGTGTCATTGAAGCGACCAACATGACTTTGACCCAACTCCGGGAGGCAGTGGAAGACAGGAGGGCCTGGCGTGCTCTGGTCCGTGGGGTCATGAAGAGTCAGACACAACTTAATGACTAAACAACAACAAAAACCAATGGCAGTAAAAAATGTAATAAATTGTGATTTTGCTGCCGTGTCATGACATCCAAAATCAGCACCCTAATGGCAGAGCCGGCCTTGTCTTCATTCCCATTTTTCCATGCAAAACCATGGTTTCCCACTGCCAGTGCTGAATGTGGCACTCTTGTAAATAGACAGCGACTCTGTTCATGTGCATTCAGAGTGTTTCCCGACCATCACCTTTCCGCCTGGCAATAGGACAGCATTATGCATGCTTCCCCCCCCTTCCCACCACTAACAAGCCTCCCGTGTAAGTGATATAATGTATTTCCCTTGAAGCATCCGAAGCACCATACACTGTGTGACCTTTGTGTGCCCTGTTCACAAAGGAATAAGAAATAACCATTCTTATACCTCAGGCCTATGATTATACCGATAGCTATAACTCAAGCCCATAAAAGCAGCCCTTAACCAAGTTAGAGACTCATCTCCCCCTCCCGAAAGGAAAAGAGCACATGACGGTTGACCTGGAATGAACCCTCCACTTTATGGTGGAAGAAGATTTAAATATGGGAGAACATATCCAAGGGTTACTGCCTCTCAATAGACCACTTCTGCCTGTCTGCAAAGCCCTTCATGATTAACAACAACTCTTGATTTATCAGCACATAGAGACTAAGAGAATAGCCTCTCCTTGGCCATCTTTCCTACACTCTAAATGTTTACTAAGTTCCCAGTGATGGAACACATGCCTGTTCTCTCTCCTCCCTCCGTTTGCTATATTTCTTTTCTTTTCGTAGTTTGCATCATCATTTCCTTAAAAATATGATGGCAATGCTCAGCTTCTCTAAACCAGCATGGGGAGAAAGGGTTCCAATAAATCACTCTGGAGCAGACCTCCTAAGTTTTTGCCATCAAGAAAGCAGCTTTTAAGGCAGACGGAAACACGCACAAATATCAACTGTTCATGAATGAAGCCTGCCGTAAATTCGTCTCCCTTTCTTTCAAGACACACAGGTTTAACTTGCAAGAAGATTACAAAGATTTAAGCCCGCTCCCTCAAGCCCACATACCTGGCTTGGTGTTTATTTAGAAAAAGGCCTGTCTTTTCCAAACTTCTGAATAGCTGAAGCTAAAATGCTAGAATTATTCCTCAGTATAAAAATCACAACACTTCGGAATTGTAATACATTGTTTAAGATTGATACAGCTGAATGGAGAAAATGTCTTATTGTACGGTGTGAGAAACTTTCGTGCCCGGCCCCTTTGTTTCTGCCCAACCAACACCCATCTTCCTTGGCTCAGCGCACAGAACCTGTGGACATTCTATGTGCTTAGAATTGCAGGAATGCCATGGGATCTGTCCCGCTCTTTCCCACAAAGGGAACAAAATTATGCTGCCATTCTGAATTGATCACAAAAGGGCGGCCCTGAGTGAGAATCCACTGATCGGCTAATCCATGGAGAATCAGCTGGTCCATCTTTCTTTTGGGGCTGGCTCTATAGCTGATGCCTTCTTCCCAGTCCCCCCATCTCCATCACAGCACTGCACAACTGTTTCTGCGCCTCCCATTTTTTTAAAATTAACTTTCCCAATAGGCTGCCCTGAAGCCCAGAACATGCATCGGGGATGGGGTGCCTTATTGTACGGTGTGAGAAACTTTCGTGCCCGGCCCCTTTGTTTCTGCCCAACCAACACCCATCTTCCTTGGCTCAGCGCACAGAACCTGTGGACATTCTATGTGCTTAGAATTGCAGGAATGCCATGGGATCTGTCCCGCTCTTTCCCACAAAGGGAACAAAATTATGCTGCCATTCTGAATTGATCACAAAAGGGCGGCCCTGAGTGAGAATCCACTGATCAGCTAAGAATCAGCACCGAGGCTGGTCCATCTTTCTTTGGGGGCTGGCTCTATAGCCGACGCCTTCTTCCCAGTCCCCCTATCTCCATCACAGGACCACAGAACT